ATCAGAAAGTCAGATTTGAGAATTAAGATTCAGTCTGTACTAGAAGAGGTTGCTCTCCTCCAATAAGTCAAATTTGTAGTCTGTGAGTGCTCCGTGTCTCTGCACTGATGTTGGACTTCCAGGTAGCAAGGAATGATGAGTGCCTCTTCGTAACTCCAGTTAGTCCATCAGCTTCTACCTGCCCCAAGTCAATCTGACTCAGCAACAGCCATCCATAACCTAATTGCATCACATTTTGACTATTGCAATGTGCTCTATTTATTTATTTATTTATTTATTCCATTTATACCCCGCCTATCTGGTCATATTGACCACTCTAGGCGGCTCTCTGCTCTGGCAGAGTAGGGACTCAAACCCAGGTATCTGGACTTTTAGTTCACCATTCTGTCCACTCCATCATACTGAGTAACTAACTGGGTAAATTTAGATGGCAGAAAAACAGCATACAACGTCAGTAATATTAACTCCAAGTAGAGTCAGCCAGTGTTTCCTTGGGCAAGCTTTGCAGTCCAAGGGCACCCTCAGAAGAAGGTAATGGTAAACCACTTCTGAGTACTCTCTACCTAGAAAATCCTGAAAAGGGTTGCCATAAGTCAGAATCGACTTGACAGTACATGATTATTTATTTTAATATGAACTCAGTAAGATGCACTAGAGACACAAATGACAGAATTAATGCTGTTGTACTTACAGCATATTATAAGACAAGATTTGATGAAAAAAAAAACCAATAATGCAAGAAATAAATTGCAGCAAGAAAGGGGGATGACCAAATATGAGATGTACTGATTCCATAAAGGAAACAAGAAACTCAAGTTTGCAAGAACTGAGTAGGTCTGTTAATGGCAGGACCTTTCAATCATAAGAGTTGCCAAGAGTCAGAAGCGACTTGACCACCAATAACAGGTAAAGGTAAAGGTTCCTCTTGACAATTTTTGTCCAGTCGTGTTCGACTCTAGGGGGCGGTGCTCATCCCCGTTTCCCAGCCATAGAGCCAGTGTTTTTGTCCGAAGACAATCTTCCGTGGTCACATGGCTAGTGCGACTTAGACATGGAACGCTGTTACCTTCCCCCCGAAGTGGTCCCTATTTATCTACTCGCATTTGCATACTTTCGAACCGCTAGGTTGGCAGGAGCTGGGACAAGCGACGGGAGCTCACTCCATCGCGTGGATTCGATCTTACGACTGCTTGGTCTTCTGCCCCTGCAGCACAGGCTTCTGCGGTTTAGCCCACAGCACCACCACGTCCCGCAGCGCCACCACGTCCCAATAACAACAACACTATTAATAATGTATCTAAAAGAACATCTTTATCTGGCACTAGAAAGACAAGAATGTGTTCAAAATCCCAATGTACAGAAAGAAAAAAGCAGTACTTCTTCATAGCCAACATCACAGATCCACTGGGACAAGGGAGAGGGCCTTCTCTGTTGCTGATTCTGGAGCTTCCTCCCGCGGGAAGCTAGGCTGGCCTTATCTTTGCTGCCCTTCTGCAAGCAAGCAAAGGCCTTTCTCTAGTGGTTTGAGAATGATTTTCAAATGGATTGTTGTGCCCTGTTGTTTTGAATATGCTTTAGCATTGATTTTATTTAATACTCGTTTAATTATTTTTAAATATTTGTATACTTAGTGTTTTTAGCTTTTAAATATTGTCTTTTTAATTACATACAGTAAGTCCCCTTGGGTTCTTTTTAAAGAGATAGAGAGGATAAAAATTATATTAAATGAATAAAATAAATAAACTAGAGTAGACCTATTTGAATCAATGGCACTTATGAAGGAGTTGATTGCTTCCTGGGCCTAGTCTAAACATGACTAACTGCACAAAGCAACAGGATTTCAACCATTATGTTTTAAGTTCTATGTTTAAAGTTTTTGTTTTTAAATAACTTGTGAGCCAACTTAGGTCCCTATAATGGGAGAAAGGAGGCATGAGATGAAATGAAGAAATGGATAAAATGTTGCAATGAAGCAAAAAGGAAATAGTAGGGGTGAGCAACCACAGATCTCTAGATGTGATTGAACGCCAGTGCCCATGAAGCTCAGGCACTGTAGCCAAAATTGCAGGACTGCAGGAAAATGCAGGCCAGCAGCATCTGGACCATAATGCTGGGAAATTTTGAAGGCAGTAGGAAAAGAAGAAGAGGAATATGAGATGGTTTGACTCAATAAAGGAAGCCATGGCCTTGAGCTTGCAAGAGCTGAGTGGTAGTTAACAATGGGACATTCCGGAGGTCACACAAATCATCACATCAGTTCTGAATTATGGTGACTCTTTCCAGGTTTTTCTAGATATACGAGAGTTCTTGAAGTAGTTACCATGTCCTCCTTCTGGAGGGCTTCTTGGGAATGTGCAGTTTACTTATGGTTACTCAGGCTGGCTCTTGAGAAGCACAGTGGGGAACTCCTGATCTCTATGTCTGTAGCCAGACACTTGAGTTATCACGGGACTTCCATGACTCAGAGGCACATAACAATTCCATCAAAAAGGTTGCAGTTGTCCATGCCAATTTCTAGTAAATGGCTGTCTCACTGTAGTTCCATGTAGCTGGAAAAGCCATGGAAATTGGCACATAGTGAAATACTGGGAAAGGTGTCTCAGTATTTAGAAAAAAACAACGACCACAAATTCAAATGTGTAGTTTCCATAGCTTCTCCCAAAGTCAGCTAACTGGAAAAGGTAAAGAACAGTCAGTTTATTTTCAGGGCCAGGTACAGACAAACAAACAGAACTTGAAGTTTCATTTCTGCTCCAAATATCTTTATTCTGCAAACAGTTTGCAAAAGTCAACTGTTGGAAAGCAAAACCGTTAGAAATGAAACAAAGCGACATTAAAAAAAACACAATTAAATTAAATTAAGCACCCTCCCGTCCCTTCTGACCGTGCTTAGAGATGGTGTCGCTTGCTCCCACAGTCACACAGACGGCAGGGTAGGGAATGTAATCCCACCAGCCACAGATACTCAGGGTGATCTCAGCTGACTCTTCTTCACATCTTTGGCCTCTGACTCTACAACCAGGCCCCCTAATGTGCTTCAGTCTCTGAGCAAGGACCTGGGCAGCACTGCCTTGGTGATACTGCTTCCCTTTTCCTTCAAGCACATCTCCTAGACGGATGACCTCTGTAGAAAACCATGGGCCCTTCTGTCTGCCAGGAGGGCACTGGGACAAAACATTGCTATACAGTACTTTTAAAACTGAAAACTAAGTGCTACATCCAACTCAGCTAGAGTAGTTCCATTAAATCAATGTGACTTTAAAACGTAAGACTATGATAAATTGCACTGATTCTAAAGGTCTACTTTAGTTAGGACCAGCAATTAAATGTAGCATTAAAATACAGGTTCTAAACCCCAGCCAGGTACAGTACTAACATCACAGTTTCCAAAGCCATTGTGACTGTTTTGAAATAGAAAAGTTGTAGAGTGACTGCAACCATATAGTCAGGAATACACAAACAACAGAGCCCTCACTCCAAATGTTTTAATAACCATTTTAAATACTGATTTTTAAAAAAGCTTTGATTTAATATAATCATTTTCAAAATTTAAAAAACCCTCCTGGAACTACTGTCTAGTGACAATGCTAAAAATCTCTTCGGGGAGAGGACACCACATAGCTGCATATCCTCACTCTATATCTCAGCCTCCCTTAACCTCAAGGTTGTGCCTTGTGGGGGGGGGCACATTTCTTCCTTCTCTGCCCTGTCCTGTATTGCCTGGCTCAGGTTATGCTATGGGCATTTCTATGACATGGCAGCAGTGAGAGGTGGCAGGCTTTGGTGGGGAAGGTTGTGAGCCCAGGAAGACAAAGACCTTACTGGTCCACCTGCTGTACATCCTTTCCATTTGGACCTTGAGCTGAGCAGAGCGGTTACTTGTTGAAGACAAGCAGACACTGCAGGGGCTGGAAGCAAGGTGTGTGTCATTGTCTGCTGCTTGCCCTAGGTAACAAATTTGCTTGTCATGGCTGTTTCTATCTCCCCACCATCTCAGCAACCAAACATGGCACACACAGCAGCCTTAGAAAATCCTAGTGCTGGTTGCCTGTAGGAGAAGGCAGGGGCTTGGGAAGAAGTTTTTCACACAGCAACAACAATAACAACAACATCTCTATCTCCCAGGCAGAACTCAGAAAAGTTGCTTTTTTGGGACAATAGCACTTCAAATCCCTGAGCCAGCGTGAGCTGTGGCCATCCTTGATGGGGGATACTGGGAATAGTAGCCCAAGAAAGAAACTCTTCCAAACTCTGCCCTGACACCAAAAACATTATCTAAGCACCAGACAAAATTCCCTGACGGGAGCACTCCAAAGGAAAAACACAGCCGTGCAAAAGACAACACCCTTGGACACTGTTGCAGTCAGTATATGTGCTTCCAAAGGTAAGAGGGCCTGGCAAAGGTTCTCTGAGCTTAAGCAGCTGAACAAGATGTTGATTGTTACCTCAGTTTAAGATATGAAACATATATTTTTAGATTATTTTTAAAAAACCCAAATATTTACCTTCCCAAGAAAAACTTTGTAGGCTAGCAAAATTAGCAAGATGTTTTTAATTAAAATATAATGCAGCACTTAATTTTTTTTAAAAGGGAAACAGCATGTTATAGTTTACCTGCTGTTAACAGTTAACTGCAATTGTGCAGTGTGAGAAAGAGAGATTTCTAGTTGTGCATACACCGAAAAACTACCTATTAAGAATTATTCCTTCATTAGGGACAAAAGTTGTAAGAAAATACCAGCTATAATAATACAAATAAAAATGCATAGATACTGAACTAAATTTAATATACATTCACCAGAATTTATCTGCCATGATTAATAACTTTGATCAAAAGTACACAAATCTCTCTAATAACTGAGCAACCGAACAAGGTAATTGTGCTGTGCAAAAAAAAAAAAGGGGGGGGAGAGATGAAGAAGAATTACATAAATGGAGTTCGGTCACTCCAGTTAAGTGACAGCCAGAAGAAATATTATCTTGGCAGTTTAGTTACCTACCAGCATTGATTGGATTTCAGAAATTTAAATAATCACCCCTATAAAACACCACCATCTCCTGGACCCCTGTTGCAGGAGTGGAAGCAGCTTGCTAATGACAAAGAGAGCAAGGAACGGGGTATTCAATATTTGACAATGAATAATGTATAGTTAATTAGTTTGTGTAAATCGAGAGAAAGAAAGTGAGAGAAAGAAAAAGAGAAGTGGTGCATTGAGGTACTTCCTGAACTCTGGCTGGAATTTTGAATAAAGAAGTTACACAGCACTTTTCCAGGGGGAAATTTCTCACATTACAAACCGAAGGGAACCCAAAAGAGAAAAATACAGCAACAGGCCTGTCCTCTTTTTTATTTAATCAACTGCTTACTGATGTATTGATTCCTTATGTCACCAATGATTTGTTTTTTATCACTAGAGTAGCAGTTATAAATTGTTGTTATGTGCCGTCAAGGCATTTACAACTTATGGTGAGCCTAGGAGGGCTTGTGAGATGTTTGTGGAGCAGTATCAGTGCCACTGACCCTGTGGACTTTCCATGGCTTGGTGGGGATGTGGAGCCAGGTCTTCTGTGTCCTAGTCCAACAGTTTGTCCACTAGGCCTCAGAGTTGTTGTTGTTTAGTCGTTTAGTCGTGTCCGACTCTTTGTGACCTCATGGACTAGAGCATGCCAGGCCCTCCTGTCTTCCACTGCCTCCCGGAGTTGGGTCAAATTCATGTTGGTCGCTTCGATGACACTGTCCAACCATCTCATCCTCTGTCCTCCCTTTCTCTTCTTGCCTTCACACTTTCCCAACATCAGCGTCTTTTCCAGGGAGTCTTCTCTTCTCATGAGATGGCCAAAGTACTGGAGCCTCAGAGACTTGCTAGCATTTCCAACTCCTGTCAACACTTGACCCCAATGAAATCTTTTCGTCTTTCTCCATTCTCCTTTTTTCTGCACCCATCTACCATCTACACATAAAGGTTATATAAGTTGACTCTAAACAGCTAAATTCCACTGTCATCCCTGACTTTGTATACTTCCAAGGGCTACACAATTTTTCCTCTAAAAATCCAGTGTCCGGTTATCTTCCTGGATATTAAGGTGACCATTTAAAAAAATCAGATGCTCTGAATATTACCCATATACTTCAGCAAATCCATTTCTGGTGTATTTGCTATCATCATTTACCTGCAGCTTCGGCACTTTGGGCTTTTTTTTTCCCAGAAGAAAACAAAATGGGTATATTTACTTCTGGAAATGCAGTATATATTTTGACAGAAATGCTGTTCAGTTTTTTGTAATCATCATCATCATCAGTTTCCACTATCAAAGCTGTCCAGAACCAATTGAAGTCTGCAGAAGAACAAGTTGGTATAGTGCTACAATATAATAGCAGGCGCCGTTCCAGTTTCAACTGCACCCAGGAAGCACCATTCAAATATTCCTCCGTGAAATATCACTCCTTACCAAAGAGAGACAGCTTAGACAATATGCAAAAAGGTTAAAATGTTAGACCTTGGACAAGCCAGGCCTGAGTTCAAGTCTTTCCTTTTATACAAAGTTCAGAACTTGCCATGGTCAAGCCACCAGCTCTCAGGTCTATCTCAGTGTCCTGCAGTGGGCCAGGAAGAGTCTCTCACCCTCCATGCACATTTCCAGGCCTTAGCACAACCTTGCCAAGGACAAAGAGATAACCCTTGTGTCATTCTGGAGTCCTCAGAGTTTGTAGGAGAATAAGATACAAGTGACAGATAAAAGAATACCTGGTGTGCTGTTATAATCTTGAAGACTTGCAAATTGGCATAAAGCAGTGCATTGCAAGAGATGAAGAAATCTCACTACTATGATCTGTTACTTGCGGGTCTGGTTGTTCTGTGTTAGAAACTGAGATCTTCATATGTTACACATTAACACCCCAGTCTCCAGGCCAGCTGAATTTAACCTACATTTTCAATTCCCGATGCGTGACTTTCATGTTAACTACTGAAGTTTCATTTTCACTTCCAAAGCTACTGCACATATCGCTCCAGACATTCTTCCTTTCTTTTACCCCTAAAAGCTATTTCAGTGCTATGGATTTGACATTTGTGTTTGACAAGAGAGTGAACAGATGGAGATGAACTCTCACACCAAAACACTTCACCTTCTGCCTGAAGAAAGCCTTAATAAACCTTAAATAAAAAGAAGAGCAATATAAATGGGAAAGGCCTGGGCTACCTAGATTCCTAGCTGTCATTTTCATAGCTCCTAGAAACCCTACATCCATTTTGAAAAAGAAACAGTAGTGAACAGTACTAACAGGACCAACTCTAAACACACACACACACACACAGAGAGAGAGAGAGAGAGAGAGAGAGAGAGAGAGAGAGAGAGAGAGACTAGCCACACAAATCAAGGTCTCCAGCAACCAAAGTCACCCAAGATATTTTGACGTACGAGTCACAAAGCCTTACAAGCAATGTTCCCTATCTCTGTTAAAACACATTCAGTACAGATGTAAGAGCTTCCCCACACATGGCAATTGGAACAGGCTAAATAGGATCACTGAGAGGTCCAATAACCCATATGGAGTGGTCCTCACATCCAAGTGTCAACACCTCAAAAAACTCTGCTGGGTTTACGGCAGCCTGCCATCAATATGTTGATATCCTGAAGTGGCTTTAGATGAGAGCCACTTCCCAATGCTGGCAAATTAATCACTTCCGCAATTTTTAAAAATTGTGTATTCGGGTAGTGAATATTTGCCGCATCACTTTAAAGACTTAAAACATGAATGAGAAGTAAATGTGAATTTTGACAACAGGAATTTTGACAACAAGCCATGTTGCACTTCACAATATTGGCAAATTAAGAGGAAGGCTTACATCTGGTCTATTTCCAGCGAGCACACACACTGGAAACAGACCAAACCAGAACAATTTTACACATAAGAAAAAAGTAGAAATCCCTGACAAGGCACAGAAAAGTGCGAGTAGGAATGCTCTGGGGAGAATTTATTTCACTCCAGCGATTATATTGTGTGATCACTATTTATTTTATTTATTTATTTATTTATTCAATTTATATGCCGCCCACACTACCCAGAGGTCTCTGGGCGGCTTACAATAATTAAAATTCAATACAGTAAAAGATAAAATAATTAAAATACAATTAAAATACAATTACAATTGCATTGCCATCAAAAAAGAGCAAACCAAACCATCCCTGCAATGGGGCAAATAGCAAGCTAAACATCCATTTGATCAAACCCTCAATTAGAGCATAGGTACTTGACCCTAACTGACAATTTTCTGTTCTTTCAGGACATCCAAAATCTGCTGGCCACTTCACTCTGTCTAACGAAAGGGTTGATAGTCTTCTGGTTTGAGTCATGGTGAACAGGAAGATTTGACTTACATATCTATATAGTTACGTGTCCTTAAATGTAATTGATTTCCAAGCATGCATAACCGTAACTAAACTAGAGATATTTATGACATTTGCCCATCTGAAGTGTTTCTGGGATTTTGAGAGCCAAAGCGTATGTTACAGATAGCCTGTCATTAGAAGCTGAGATCCATTTGTGTTTCAGAGACACAGTTCAGGCGGCTGCTTAAGACTAATTGATCATACCGCACATGAAGCCTGTGCCTACGAGATCTCTCAGTCACCAAGCACAAAACTAAGCAAGATAATATGTAAACTATGGAAGATGTTGAAAGCTCCTGGTGTGACCATCAGGTATTTAGAGTGCATAAGGAATTTTTCTCTTCTAATGACAGGTTATCTGTAATGCATAGTTTGGCTGTGTAGGAACCCTTACTGATTTTTTTTTTTTAGAAATGTCCCAGTGCATTAAAAAGCTACCAGTCTTTTTTCATTTGAGCTTTTGTCAAGAATTCTCACCTTTTATTTTTACCCAAGTTACACTGGGCATCCTCAAAACCCAATTAAAAACATGGTTATTTATTCAGGCCTTCCCTCCAGCCAATTCTTGATTTTCTTCTTCTTATTTTCCTATTTTTTTTTAGTTTATTCTAGTTGTTTTGCATTAGCCATGTATCTGTTGTATTTTATTGGGTTACACTGGGCATCTTCAAAACCCAATTAAAAACATGGTTATTTATTCAGGCCTTCCCTCCAGCCAATTCTTGATTTTCTTCTTCTTATTTTCCTATTTTTTTTTAGTTTATTCTAGTTGTTTTGCATTAGCCATGTATCTGTTGTATTTTATTGTTTAATTTTATATTGGAAGCCGCCTAGAGTGGTCCATCGGTCCAGATAGGCAGGGTATAAATCAAATCAAATCNNNNAATCAAATCAAATCAAATCAAATCAAATCAAATCAAATCAAATAAATAAATAAATAAATAAATAAATAAATAAATAAATAAATAAATAAGAAAGATGTGGAAACAAACATGTTCAGGAACAAAGCATGAGATGAACTACAAAAGCCAGAAGCTGTAGCAAATTCTCTAAATCTTTTAAAAATTGTGCTTTTGAAATAAATTCCACACAATTACCAATTCCAAGCTGTCTGGAAAACAGTGAGTTGAGCACTTGGCTACAGTTGGCAGTCCAATCCCCCAGAGTGTGTCCTCAGAGAAGAACCAACCTGTGCAACCTTAAGCTTGTTGCACGGTCCCAGAAGAAGAGGAAATTGATAAAATGACTTATGAGGATACCTAGAAAACCCTGGGAAGAATCACCATAAATTAGAATCGACTGGATAGAACATCATCATCATCATCACCATCATCATCATCATCATCATCATCATCATCATCATCATCATCATCATCAATCTTTGCACACCATATTTCATCTACTAAATCAGATGTTCGGGATTTTATTAGTTCCAAAGTTCAGGTTAAGCTTGTTATGCAATTGCTCTAACAATTTTGACAGCCCTGTCAGTTCTCAGGTAGGCTTTGTTGTTATTACACGTAGAATGACATTTGCTATACAGTAAATGTAAACTCTTAAAGGATGCAATTCAATGAACATATGGATTTAGCTAAAAGAGAGAAAGATTAATATACGTCTCATCTGCTACCTTTTTACTGATAAAACATGATGATTTTACCCTTAACTAGAACTGTCTCGCCTA